TATTATTTAATGATTATTTAAAAACTTCTAGTACTAACAATTTAGTTCATAGAACATTGTAAATTACTGTATATACATAATACATACTATGTACATCTGTCTATCTGGAATCATCATAAGAATAGTCTTTGCTCACCCTAATAAAAGCTCACAATAAGATACATTTGTGCTTTAGTGCTAAAATCCATAATATTAGAAGCATAATAAATAAAGTTCAAAGTATTTGAAGTTAGGCTTTGATATCCTTCTATAGGTTAATATAAAATTCCTACATTGATAAAGCAAGAAACCACAGGCATTAGGTAGATTTATATTAGTATGTTGACATTATCAAAGACTATGCTATACTTATTTAATTTATTTTATATCATGCCTTGAAATATATAAACAACAGGACATATATTTGGGCTTACTCTTTAATGCAATGTTTTTATCCTGTATAAAAAAAATGGGGAAGTTCTTTGCCCACTGAAAAGAGGTACATAATTTCTAAGCAAAGAAACTCAGAGTAGCTGTATTTGAATTTGTAGATTTGTTTTTACATTACCTGTTGAATTTTACTTATGCTTTTTGTACAATAAATAATATACAGGTCAATCTTTTCCTTAATTCAGATATTAAAGTTGATACCATGAAATATTATTACTGTCCACAGCATGTCACTGACTTTGGTATCAGGAAAAAGGTTCAGGCAGTTGTGTATAACTGCAGTGCAAACTTAATCCTTTAAGACCTGATGTTTCATGATATCTTTGAGCATCAGAGATCTTTATTTGTGTTTCTTCTTTCTTGACCTTAGAGAATGCAAATTACTTCTGTAAATGGATTAATTTACTTTTCTGCCAGAATAATATACTTGAGACTTTCTCCATGCTTGAAACATGCTGAGTATTAAACAATGTAATCCTTGTTTTTCCTCAAAGGATTTAATTGCAGGTTAAATCTCCACTCTTATCATCATTTTACAAAGCCCATAGCATTCAATAGTGTTTTCTCTACTCTAAGTGACTAGTTGGGCTGGATTTTTGTGTCATATATCTTTCACTTAATAAAATTTTAATCATTTCTTACCTGAAACCAGATCACATATATCTTGGAGAACAATGTTCTGAAACAGTACAAAAGAATTCTGAACAATATAGCTCTGAAAAATGGAACATGAATGCCTTTATGAATATGGGTATGATTCAAACAGACAAGTGCAGGTAAATCTACATGAATATTGCATCTGGTTCTTTGAGTGGCTTATAATTTTGAAACTGTCACATGCCAGCAAATATGACAATACAGCTAAAAAAAACAAAATGGAATTGTGTCTCTGCTTAGCAAAGACACACACACACACACACACACACACACACACACACACACACACACACACACACACACACACATATATATATATATATATATATATATATATATTTATATATTATATCCCCTCTCTCTACTCCTCCTTGTTCCACTCCATCATCTACCCTCCCATTTTGATCCACCCATTTTTGGTCTCATTAGAAAACAAGTTTCTAAGAGATGATGCCAAAAATAAAATATAAGCAGCTAAAACAAAAGTCATCACATTGAAGTTGGAAAAAGCAAACCAGCACAACAAAAAGAGCCCAAAAATAGGCATAAGAATCAGAGACCCATTTGTTTTCACACTCAGGAATCTCATAAAAACACTAAGCCGAAAGCCATTATATATACAAGTAGGACTAGGTGCAGAGCTCTGCACGTACTGTGCATGCTGCCCCAGTCTCTATGAGTTCATATGAACTTTGCTCATGCTGACTGATAGGGCATTGGCCTCTTGGTGTCTTCCATCCCCTTTGCCTCTCATACTCGGCCCCTTCTCCCACAGGGCTCCGGAACCCTCAGGGGAAGTAATTGATGGAGACATCCCATTTAGTTTATGGCTGAATGTCCCAAGGAAGTTTAGTCAACAAATTAGTTTTATTCATACAAAATAGTTTACACTTGTCCCTGGGTTAAGAAAAGAGAACATATAAAAAATGTAGAATATATATACGTATATATATATATGGGATATATGTGGCCAAATTATTTTATTGATTGATGTTAGGAGTTAACAACTAATGTATATTTGTCCTACCTGAATAAAGTACTTGAGATTGACTATGACCAATGGACATCATAATTTAATTCATTGTTGAGATTTTTAAAGCTAAAATTAGGAGGACTAGGCAGTATATGGGGCCTCTAGTTGTGGATCAGTATTTATCCCTAGTATACGAATAGACTTTGGGAACCCATCCCACATAGAAGGATACTCTCTTGGCCTAGACACATGGAGGAGGACCTAGGCCCTGCTCCAAATGATATGGCAGACTTTGAAGATTTCCTTGTCTTCTAAAAATGCAAGAAACAGTATCAAAGCATTTTTAAACATATGACACCTGCTTTAATATGGAGAAAATATTGTCACTATTTTTTATTCTTAAGAAGTCTCAACCAGTAAGACAGCCATCATCTGCATAGGTGATATATGTTATGTGAAGGTCTGCCACGGCATACTTAAAAAATAGAAGAGGAGCTAAGCAGTTGGTACAGCAGAGGGAAGCTCAGTATAATCAAGTGTTAGAGCTGCTGTGAAGTTTATGTTTCAGACATCACATTCTGCTGTGAAATCGAGCATGAGTCTTGGGAAATGACCCACCGCTTTGTTTCTGTTTGTTATCCCCTTCATTTTCTTTCCATTAGAATCACTCCCTCCTAATATGCTTTTAAGTATAGCTTCCGACTGTTTCATTGTTTAAAATAAATTGTTTCAAATTTAAGATTTAAATAAAGCATGAAAACTTGAGTTTAAATGTTCATTTTTTAAATGTGATGCTGAAATTATGTTAATTATTTTCCGCTGAGAATACGTTAAAAAAAGGAATTATTATATACAATCGAACCACCAGCATAGTCATTAAGCACTCCGAAATGATTACTTAGACAGAATGTCTTGTGGTGTACTCATGTTGATTTTTATTTTACACCTGAGTTAGTAAACTAAATTGAATTTGCTCATTAGTCAGTATCACTAATACTGGTAAAATGAGTAGCAAAATCAGATTTCACCACTGTAAACACTAATACACGAACTCCATCTTTGATGATGTGATTTGCATACATTTAAATTGGCGTGGACATCTTTGAAAAGCTATGTATGAATTCATAACGAGTGTGAAAGTAGCCACCAATTAGAAAGCTCCATCACACTTGCATGTTACATTTTTCTCCATGAGAGCAGCTCTTAGATTCTGGGCGTCCCTTGCTCCCCTCTTTTTCCTTTTGATTGACTGTAAGGCATGGACTGAAATCCCTTAACTAAGGTGCAAGCCATAAACAATACCGAGCAGCATCAGAATGCCTGGAAACACTGCTTCATTTCCAGGATTTTCCATAAAACATTGACCCTTTCGTCTCAGCCTACTCCTTTTAAGGTTCCCAAAACAACCATCCCCGACCTGAACCCGTCTGCCCACTTTGAAAATATCCCCTCTGTGCTATAGAAATTCACTTCACTTTTCTCCGGTGTCATCAATAATCCTTTCCTAGTGCCTTTTGAAATTTTTTTTTTCTTCAAATCCCCATTCACAACCGATAATCTTAGTTCCTTCAATAAAGAAAACAATAACGACATTAACCGATGCGTTACAGAAATTACCACGCCAGTGATAAAGTCCCACACTGAGACCCAACAAACACTGTGTAAGTTTAGCCTGAATGCATCCTTCTGCCTTTTCACAGGTTTAGCAAGCTCTTCCACCTGCCAGCAGTGAGGGAATTTTAATTTTTGTTGTCTACTAACCCCCTCTAGCGCCGAATTGGCTGCACCAGAGCCAAAGCAGCTGCCAGATCACGGGGCTCTCACCGAGCTCAGCAGCGCTCTAGGGCACTGCCCTCGGCGCACCGGTCTCGGCAGGCAGCAGGGCGACAGCTGGGAGACTGCAGGTCTCCTTCCGTTCAGCTAGTCCTGTTCCTCGTCCCAGGGTGGGGCCCCACCAAGTAGGCAGTGCACCGACTAAGAAGCGCCTGGACCTGGGAGGCAGCGGGTGTTGAAAAGGGGCTTCTCGTGGAGAGCGCACAGCCGTAGCGCGCGCATTGCCTTGGACTTGGCCACGCAAAGCTCAGCCCTTGAGCAGCTCTCAGCGCACAGCCCGACGCTGAACAGTGGGCTGTCGAGGCCATCGGAAGCCAGGCACCAAAGCTGTCACGACGATGCTGGTGACCTCCCTGGCGAAGTCACCACCTTATGGCGACGTAAAGACCTAGGGGAGCCAAGGTGCCAGGCACCAGTCGACTCTCAGCCTGCAGTGACTTCTCTCTATTGCTTCTTCTATCCCTATGCTTTCCAAGGACTCCGAACCTGAAGGGAAAGGTGGCCAGATAGCTTTCTGGTTCGCTCTGGTGGCCAAGTTTAGGAGGCTGGCACTCGGACACTTCAGAGCTGACCACTGCCATCGTCAAGCTGTGCCCAGGGAGCTGACCTGCAACCCTCACCCTTTGCCGCGGCAGAAATGTGGAGAAAGGGAAGGTGGTGTTCAGCGCTGACAGTCTATCATTACATGGGGGAGGAGGGATACAAGTGTTTGGGGGACTAAGGAGCTTCAGTGATACCCAGTAAGTAAGCCGCTGCCACGGCCGTGGGGAGGCGCCGACGCCCCCTAATCCGTGGCATCCACGACTGGGTATTCAGACCAGGTCACTTAGTCAAGAGGCTGAGCGCTCAAGTCCACTGCTCCTTGGGACCACTCTAGAGCCCTCGGAACAGCATTGCCTGGTTCTCTAGACAGCAGCCACATGAAAGTTCTGGTCCCTCAGGCTACCCTTGCTATTTGCTGTGCCCCCTCTGCTCTGGGCTCTGCAAGTGCCAGATTGGGTTCAGAGAGACGTGCTTGGGTCCCCAGAACTGCACCTTCACTATACGCCTGGACATCCCTACCAACCCCCAGTACCTTCCTTCAGGCATCCTCCCCCTTCCTCCATCCCCTCCCCCAAACTACAGCCTGAGCTCGCTCTTGCGCGCGCGCTCTCTGGGGCCCAAGTGACTAGTCCTCGCTCGAGCGGGACACGGCTGTGGATGCAATTCCCCTCGCCTCCAGCCGCCAGGAGCTCCCAGGCGGCGCACGCAGCATCATCCTCTGAAGCAGCTGCTCCTGCACCTGGACAGCCTGGACCCTCGTGCCCTGCTCACGGGGCCTCGCGCCGGAGGCGCCCCAGGACTTCCCCTGCGGGCCGGGTGGAGGAGGAAGAGGAGGAGGAAGAAGAAGAGAGCTTGGACGAGGACCCCTACCCTACTAGGAATACCTGGCCGCGATACTGCCACTTTTTTATAAGGGGGAAAAGGAGAGAGCCAGCAAGAGCCATGGGGGGCAGCGAAGTCCGGGAATTTCTTTTGCAATTTGGTTTCTTCTTGCCCCTGCTGACAGCTTGGACAGGCGACTGCAGTCATGTCTCCAACCAAGGTAAGGGACAAAATGAAGGGCTGGAGGAGGGTGCCTTGGGAGTGAGTACTCTTGTCCACTATTGCAGGTAACTTTGTCCCTTGGTCAGCTCCTCTGGACTTGCCACACTATGATGTCTAAGATGTTTCCTAACCAGACAGCCCTGATTACATTGCTGACCCTGAAGCGCTCATCCCTTCCAGCTCTAGAATTCTTTCCCATATATGAGCATCCTGGGCACATGGGTTCCTTCCTGGCAGAGTTGCCTGATTGCTCCCCGTTGCGCAGTCTCCACTGGAGGTCAACCTTCATGGCACAGACCTAATTGCTTGTTGGAGAACCTTTCACCAAACAGCAATGTGTGGATTCTCCTCCATAGCTTCTTGAAAGGTCATGACTCGAGCTGTACCCTATACACCTGTAACCAATCATCAGCCTGTTTTCTCCAGTAACTGCTGATCGACCTTACTCAGTATTAGTTTCTGAACTCTGTCTGCAATTCACTTCAAATTATTCCTACAAAAGATGTTCACATGCCTGTGTTGTTGTTTCTAATTCTGAGAGAACTGGGCAGACAAGTGTTAAGTCTGAAATTCCAAGTTATGAATATCTTATTCATAAAGTCTAGATTTTTACAGGACTTTTACCAGTGGGTAGTGAAAAAGTGAACGCGAATGCTGTGTGTGTGGAGAAATGATGGAAAGCATTTAAATATTTGAGTATTTTCTTTCCTTTACTCAGTCTTAATGAAACATATATCTTTGTATTTCTGCTATGAATGTTACAGATATAGAAAAATATCGCCTACATGTTGTAAATTGCTTTCACACTCAGTATCAAACAACCATAAAAGTTTTCTCTCGGTAACTGGCCCGGTGCTCTCACTGATATGGTGAGGATTTTCAATATGTCACCTGTTAGCCGACAGTCTACCCAGACTTCAAATCTAATGCAGTTTGACCAATTATATCTGCCATTTAACGTGTAAGATATGCATAATGGTCTAGAGAACATTTTCTGAAAGTACAAATAGAGGTCAGATGAGAGTGTGTACTTTGTGTTTGATAGGTAGGAGGTTGAAAGAGAAGGCACGCCAAATAACAAAGCCTTACTTTTGTCATAATTGTGTATGTGGTCCTATTATTTTATCTAGAAAGGAAACAGTCATTCAGAAACAATTCACATGTTCCAGTTTATAAACAACAGTATTGATATGTTTTATGGTTTTATTCCGACAAAATTAAAAATATTTATTATTTGGAAAATGCATATTATTCCTGTGACTTTGACATGTCACAAATGTGACAGCTATAATGCCATAGTCTTTCACAGGGGTATAGCTTCAGACTGCATCCCTCATTGGCCTTTATGGATTATTGGAATTAAGTGCCCACGCATAGTTTAGGTAACTTTAATGGAAATAAAAGAAAATTGTTGAAAATAACATGGGGTTATTTACTTGAACTTTTATTTGGAAGGAAAATAATTTGTTTTTAAATGAGGAAATCATATATATATATATATATATATATATATATATATATATTCTCTACTAATACTATGGGAATTAAAAGAGTGTGCAGTTTGAGACTCATGCTCAATACAAAGTTTGAAGTGATTCTGTTCCAAATTTTCCTAGATTGTTCATATGTGTAGTTCCTGTGTAAGTTATCACCAATACTAGGCCTTGGCTTTCTTCAGTCATATAAAACACATATGAACAGCCCCCAACTAAAGTACCATTCTATTAAAGCATGCCATGGTAACATATGGCTTAACAAATATTTATATCAAATGTCAGAGAGTAGCAGAGGTATTTCCTAACCTCTTAGAGTAATTTCAATTTCTCCTTTCTCTTAATGACTCTCTCATTGTTTTTAACGATTTTGTTTTGTTTTCTGGGTTTTTTTTTTTTTTTGGTCAAGAGTAAAGAGGAAACATCTGAACCTTATTTTTTGCTTCAACTAGCTTAACTTAGTGCTTCAAAATATTTTCCACCTATCACATCAACTAAGAAGGTCCATTAAATATCACCGAATACAACTTAACTTGAATTTGTTTAATATACTAATAATGCAAGTATAAACTTAATAGTACCCAAAGATAAAGTTGGATAAAACTGGATTTGTTCTCCAATACAAAGTTACAAATTATGATCAGATTTTTCATCAGTAATAAATGCTTATTTGTAATACTGTGATAAGTGGTTTTTCCCTAACAAAATTAGAAAATACTAAAATAATCAGACAAATGAATAAGACATTATTACATTTCTATAGATTACTCTTGAGAATATTTAGAAAAAGTTTCTAAATTTGTAATTTCATATACAGCAAACTGAGCACTAGTGTTTGTCTATCTCAAATATGGACTGTACAGAATTATAAGAACAGCAAAGAAATATTCAAATAAAATTTGCATTTAATTGTAATATATGTAAAAATAAATGTCAGAGATGTGATTAATACTTAGTATTTAGAAGATGTTTTTCATATTGCTCATAATTTTATTAATTCTTTGAAACTTGCTATATTATAAAGAAGAAATTTTCATTTTTCTATAACTTTCCCTCATGACTAAGGACATTTACAAAATGAAATGTCATTGCTCTGTGTCTATTTTTGTCAAATGATCATATATAAAATCCTTCATGGCTGAATAAACCACATTCACTCTCTGACCTCCTATCCAACCCCCAATATTCCATACTAAACAGAGTCAGATAATGATGCTGAGAAGAAGTGAGCTACCTCCCTCTTAAGATGGACTAAGGGGAACCTCACTATAGACAAGACTTCTAATTGTTGAACTGGCTCTGAAGCTATGTGTTGTAAAGACAAAGTAAATAACACTGACTCTTTCTATTACCCTATGCTCTTTGAATCAATATGAAAGTAATGATGCTTCCCATATCACTTCATCTGGTTAAGTAGAAAAACAATTTCTGCTAGACTGACTACCATATGCAATTATTTTCCCTTGTATTTAGAAAATTCACAGTATTATTGACATATTGGTAATTTTTTTTAAAATTCATATTTTAATCTCTGAAAATATACAACCTTGCTTTTCCTTACTAGTGTATCAAAAACTGAGTCTTACTTCATGTGTAAATTAACCAAATGTAACAATCACAGTGATTACTGGACACTAGGGATCTATTTATTGAAGGATTACTCTGAATTAGTTGATACATCACTTAGGGTGCTCATGCTTATTAAAAACAATCAATTGCATATGAAATAATTCATTAAGAAACTTGTGTGGCTAGATGCTAGATGAAGCAGTGAATATGTTTTATTAACACTCTTGTGTGATATGACTTCTTACCAGGAAATACTGGGTAAACACAAAAGTAAGGTAGGCATGGTATTAGAGATTTTGTTTATTTATTGATTTGGATAAAATGATGGCAAGAAATCTGAAGTTGTATGTAAATATAAGTAAGCATGTTAAAACCAACAAACAAAAAAATAGCTGCCTAAAAATCAATAATCTATAATTAGTTGCCCTGTCACTAACATCATTCATAAATTGTTAAACAGAAGAAAATAGTTAACACATATATTTTAGTTAGGATAATTAGATAATTTACTAACAATATTGCCCAAAGACACTTCATAATTTTTTCACATTATTTTCACAGATAAACTCTTGATAGGTTTAGGGATGTTTGAGATTATTTTCACATGTCTTCTTGGTAGCTAAAACTATATGTAAAACCTGAAAATTGATTATAAATATGATTTTAAATTTTGGAATCATTAGAGGTAACACCAAATAAAGCAATAAAGTATTTTTTACTGATTCCAAAGTGTTCTTCAGATTCTATATATCACTTGCTCTAAATTATGAATAAACTATATCTGAAAATCTTATTGTACAATAATAGTAACATGTTCACTAAAATTATGTTCTTTCAACTAGAAGTAATATAAATAAAATCATTAAAAACTAAAATAAATCATTATTTAAATACATTTTGTTGATTTTCTAATGGAAAAATGTTAAAGATACAAAAGAAGATATAATATATAAGGTTGTTGAGTATAAGACATTTTGTAACAAATCTTGTATTTGTCTACAAAAAATTCTGTTGCACAATGTTTTGTAGTTTTCTACAAACTTTTTTTTTGTTTTTCCACAACCACAACAACCACTTTCCTGTTCTCCCACACAAGTTGCAAATAGAAAAAATGTTCTACTTAAAATATATTGCAACATTTACAGAAGTCTCCTTCCTTTGTCTTAAAATTTCTTGACAGTCTAACCGTAGATATCAATATACACAGTTAAGGAATGAAAATTGTGTTCATCTTTCCATACATTGCTAATCAAGTAATTAAATAAAAATATTAAATTAGTAACATGTCTATAACAATCAAATTCAACATTGGTATATACCCCAATATTTCCTTAAAATTGAAAATACATTGCTGTTATCACTGCCTTATCTTGAGTATTGTTTATAGAATGTAAAACTTAGTGGCTGAAGAGATAGCTCAGGGATTGAGAGTACATGGTTAAGGACAGGATTCTGTTCTCTATCATCCACACTTGGTTGCTTACAATCACTTGTAAATGCATATCCACTGGGATTTTATTTTAGCTGCCTTGGCCACATGCACACATGTACATATCCACACACATACACATAATAAAACATAATAATAAACTAAATTAACAAACACAAACTTCTAATAAAAGAGTAAATTACTATATATGACACAAAAAATAATAAGATAAAACATTCAAATAAAAATTTACGTGATAAAAAGAAGTGGTTGTGGCAATAGTGTGTTTCCTCATATAACCTAGGTAAATAGTAAAAACAAACAAACAAAAAACAGAAAATGTTGGACAAAGCAGCCAAAGCATGCAAATAAAAAGTCATAGGACAATTGTGGTGTATTAAATGAGACAATTGAAAAGGGTCTGTGGTTAGGTTCAATGTATGCCCATCCTCAGGGATGAGGAACAAATAACTTGTTCAGAGCAAGAAGTACATTAACACTAGAAGG